CCTGTACCACGGTAATAGTATCTATACAGTATTGTAACTCGGCCGTATCTTTCAAATAAATGCCTACAGCCTAAATGCTAAATGCGGCACGTAAACATGTGATAGGGCTACCTGCCTCCAGCATTTTTACACTTGCATACTTTGTGTTTCCATTTAGTTTTATAACTGTAAATATACTTTTTATATAAACAAATAAAATAGGTACTTTGTGAATTGAATAGGAAGTGTTCAATAAAAATGCGTGTCGTTTTTTGCGACCGAAAAATATTTGCACCTCGGCTGAGACTTACGAAATGCTTTATTATTAGATTTTTAAATATTAAAAATCCGCTTTCTGATATAAAGCTAAAAATAATATAAATTAAAAATTATTTTGGGAAAAATGGACAACGTGGAGAAAAGGAATATCTTTTAATTGGTTATAGATACCTGCAGCTACTTTACAATTTATATGTTTGTTTTTAAATGAAGTCCAGTTTTATTATTTCTTTATTTCTATTCTATTATTTATTTCCTCCATTTTTTTTATATATTTCACAAAATCATGACTGCGGCACAGTCTCGACTGTCTGCATGCCGAGCGCATGCCGAGATCGAGGCGCGTAGGTATAGCTCTCGCTTCGTCCGTTTGTATGAAGTTGGAATACTGTATAGATAATATTACCGTGCCTGTACTTCCCTTAGACCATAATGGTCTAAGGTACATTCAGATCCGTCTAGCCGTTTGTACCATTCAAACATACATTTAAACATTTATTCAGGTCCCACTTTGGGCACAAATAAAATACAATATATATATATATATATATATATATATATATATATATATGTGTGTGTGGTATAATTTTGACGGCTCAGCAGAGAATGGCTTAGCATTGAGTTGCTTGCGCGCTGGTTTGTTGGCCTACAAATAATTGTTCCGAGTCTGGATGTTTGTCCTTGTGTATTTTGTTTGTAAACTGCCTCCACGATACAGGAGAAAATACTAGTGTGGGTACCCCCACACTAGTATTTTCACCTGTATCGTGGAGGCTTTTTTTAATAAAAAGTAATAATTTACAGATGCTCTGTACTTCCACTTTTTTAATTGATGAATTTGTTTGTTTGACGTCATCATCAATGAAAGGGAAATTTCTTATGAACATTTCATGCGATATTTTTTTTAATATCAAAGTGAAAAAGTGCCACTCTAGCAAATAAACAGTTATTATTCGTAGACCCAGTGCTTTTTCTGGCGTAAAAGCTGACGATACTGGTTTTTTAAAATCATTTTGTTAAATTTTGCAGCTGCTTCAGGATTTTTGAGCATGTGATCAATAGCGAAAGCAATATCGTCACAATCATCTTCTTTCATAAGTTTGGTAGCCGAGTGTAGTAATTCGATTGGGTCTTCGCCTGTATGTTCGCTAGACTTTCTCTTTTTCTGCTTTGTTCCTAGATCTTTGAAGGGCTTTCGAGATATTTTTGTCACCGTTGCAACTGAGAATGAAGTTGAAGGATTTGCAGTTGTAAAATCTTCACTAGATAACTCTTCATGGCGTTGTTGAAGGATAGTATGCACGTGACTTTACCAACCTACATTAGCCTTTAGCCAATGTTCGTATTCTTTCCGAAATCTACCACTATTCTGACCGGTTGTCTTCCACCTCATTTCAGCAGCAACCGACAAAATTCTCTGAGAGTAACAATATCTTTAAATGAAGTACCCTGACTTTTCAGAGTTGTAACAAAATCCAGATTTAATATATTTTTAGCCTATTGTGATTATTACTATTACTAATGATCCATTAATGACACTTTATTAATTAAGTAGTATGAAAAACAAGAAGTATTTAGTATATGTATAATTATATAGTTCTGAATTAAAACACTGCATTAAAACAAGTTATAAAAATAAAAATGATTTTTTTTAATGATTATAAAAAAGTGCAGTAGTTTCGGTAATATGAAGTATGTCATAAAATTAATTACTATAACCCCTCCTGTAAGGATATAATGCGCAATTGTGCGATTCCAGGGTTATATTTTATTATTGTTTTTTGTTTAGTTCTTAGGAGACTTCAGTAGAATCAAAGATATTTATTACCATCGGATGGAGGGTGGTTTGATGTTGTAATAAACCATTCTTTTGACATATTTTTAACCAAAAAAGAACCTGTATCAGTTATCTTTCTGCATTAAAACAAGTTTGAAAAATAAAAATATTTTAAAAATTAAAAAAAGTGCAGTCAATTTCAATTAAATTAAGTTGTTAAAAAGTTTCTTTGGGGAAATTCATAAAAATATATAATTTCTTTGCAACTTTCCGCTATTCACCTGTTTGCGTCGCTGCGGTCTTTACTGAGGGGCCCGGTGCACGTGTCGTATTATCGTCGATGTGTGTCTTGGGGGGGTGGGGGGCTCAATCCTTTTTTTTTTTTTTTTTTTTTTCTTTTCAAGTAAATACGTGAGTGAATTATGGGTTTATTTTTCAATAAAAGAGTATTTATCATTTTTAAAAAAAATACCAAATAAATATTTTGCGACTAAATAGCGCGCGGGCCGACCAAACAGTCCATATAAAGCGTGAAAAATCTGCTTTTGGCGCCCACTTCACCTTAAAATAGCAAATAACAATTTCATTGATGCGGAGTTCGAACCCGGGTTGCTCGCGTACTGTGGAAATTACAGCGGGGTCAATTTATAGGTGAGATTATGCCATAAATGCCACGCTTGGTTGTCATCGCATCTTTTTATCACCTGGGTTTGTAGTCAGGAAAATATTACCACCCATTTCCAGTTTCAGTTTCCATCAGTCGCGTCCTACGACACCCACGGGATGATATGTGGATATTCTTACACCGCTATCACACGTCTCAAATTCTTATTTAAAGTTGCAATAATGTGTAAAACGTATCGCTTAGCTGGTTTTGCTACAGCTTTTGCTTGCCGCTTTCATCCGAAAGTTTCACCAAAGCTTTCTCTCTGATCTGGTTCGGTCGACTCAAGATCGCAGCAAGATCTTTCAATTTTTTAAACCTGAATGCATAGTTTTGTCATGATATTATAATAGGATTTTGATCCCATTTTTATTAAAATTTGTATTAAACTAACTACTTCAGACCAGTGACCGAAAATGGAACCTTGACCTTTAAAACTAAAACTTTTCATTTTTGGTAATGTTTTACAGATTTTTGACAATTTTATTTTGGATCTAGCATGTCTTTCTTAGACTTTGTTCTACTAGCGATGTTGCAGATTACCAGCCAGTCACTTTTCACCTAGTCGTCTAACGTACACTTTTTTGACCACCCAATCTATCCTTTTAATGTCCGAGTAGGAATGTCGCAGTCTTGATAAATTTCTTTCGCTTTAAACACTGAGCTCGGATCTACATAGTAAGTATCGCGAAGAAACCTGCATGTCTGAGAAATAACAAAAAAATATTTCGGAGACATGTGAAGTTCGCCAACACGCATTGGGGCAGCGCGTCGGACACTTGCTTGGCCTAAAACCCTCTCAAAAATGAGGGGAGGCCTGTGCTTAGCAGTGGGACGTATATAGACTGTAACTTTAATTTTCACCACCTATATAATAAGGTGCCTGGCTGCACGAATTGCTTGATCAGAGAAAAATCACGTTCTTACAAAATACCTGCGTCAAATAGCAGCATAAATTAGAATCAGAAACTCGTTTTGCCGAAGTATTTTTCATTTTGATTCTAAATCAAAATCGAGGATGTTTTTTGAACTACAAGTATAAATTATAAAAAAGAAGATATCTGTGCAGTTTCTTTCACATTTCTTCTGCAGTTAGATCCTCATTTTGAAATATTACTGGTAGATTTGGAAAACAAATCACAATTTTTACGTCGAATAAATAAATATATTTCATTTCTAGAGCGTCAACTTTTTATCCGATGGACTGTATCGTTGGTCACCTTTTTATTATTTACCATCAGATGTGTCTAGGTAGGGTGTCACCCTACCTAAAATAGACATATCCAGTTTTGAGACAGGCAATTTTTAGATAGGGATAGGGTGACTAAAACGAGCACACACTTTATACGTGGTAGAGCCATGCTGCAGTTATATTAGTAGTATAGTTGTTTACCTTTCTCTTACTCTTTTCATTTAATCTATTATATGATATTTTATATATAACTTTCACTTACTTTTATTTGTATGTATTGTTGTATTTTTTTTTATTGTTTTGTATGCCCCCCCTCTATTTGTAACTTTTGTTTGCATCATTACTCTACGCAAAGGTTGTCTGGAAGAAATCACTTTCAGTGATAAGACCGCCTATTGTACATACTTTAATTAGTTGTAACTATATTTATGTTTCTATATTGTGGTGTACAAAAAAGGATAAATAAATAAATAGTTGTAGCACGAATGGGTCGGCTCGACCGGGGAAGGACCACGCTCTCACAGAATACCAGCGTGAAATAGTAGCTTAATGCTGCTGTATTTCGTATGGTGAGTGTAGAGAACCGGAGACCCTTTTTACTGGAAACGAGGCATTCCACCTTAGTCCTCACGGATGACAACGCATCTGCATTTTGATTCGTAATCGAGGATAGATGTAGATGCCTATGGGCCACGGCAACCACTTACCATCAGGTGGACTGTGTGCCCGTTTGTCACACAACCCTATAAAAAAAAAAAAAAACACAGTCCACCTGACGGTAAGTGATTGCTGTGGCCCATAGACATCTACGAGTACATCTATTCTCGATTACGAATCAAAATGCAGATGCGTTGTCACTCGTGAGGACTGCTTCGTTTCCTAAGATGGAATGCTTCGTGTTCAGTAAAATGGGTCTCCTTTTCTCTACACTCACCACTCACTATTCGCGCTATAGTTGTACTACTAATATGGCTGCAGCATGGCTCTACCACGTATAATAAACGTGCTAGTTTGTTATCCTTAGTTCAATTATTAGGTACAGTTAAAACAAATAATAGATGCATAAGAAATAATAATGCAAAAGAGTTTTCAACTTTGTACGTTATCAGGTCCTTTGGCAGTAGGGGTCCCGGGTGAATTGCGAGGAATGTGGGCGGCTTACAAGAGATGGGGCAAGTTGCCTTGGGAAAGTTTGATAGCACCGACCTTGGACATTTGTGACAGTGGCTACGTTATATCTAAAGCGCTTTATGATGGATTGGAGAGTGCGCCCTATGTCAAGAACGATCCTAACTTAAGGTAACTTTTATAATTTTACGTCTGTATTCAAGAAATTGTTAAAAAGTGCATATTGCTGACTTTTAGATCATCCAAATGTTTTTAATCCTCGTACGGTTTAATATTTTTGTTAGTGTTAAAGTATTTTTCAGCGTTCCTCTCAATTTATTTTGCGTAGATGATTGAAATACGGCATAAGCACCTGGGGTGTCAATTAATTTATTAAAAAATTACATATACCTACTATCAAGTTTGTGTTATTTCTTTATTTCCTGTTTCATTTTGTTTAGCATTTTTACAGAAAAAAAAATGTTGTACCGTATCTACGAAAGTATCGCAGGGCAAAATTTATTTCATTATAGGTAGTTGTATAACGAATGGGCCGACCGAGGTAAGACCACGCTTTCACAGAAAACCAGCATAAAATAATGTCCGAAAAGTTTTTCTTCAAATATTCATAGAAAGCTACGTATATAAAAATGAGTCAGTACCTAGCCGTCATGAGAACTTTATTATATATAATACATTCCAATCCTTATCGCAAATTATGCAATTCGCGACAAAATTGCGTAACCGGTTGGCGAAGTTATTGACGGACCATCGTGCTAATTTATTATTGTAAACAAGGTTAGGTCTCAAATCCTTGTAATGTTTCGAGTCATCATACAACATAATATATTTGAAAAAATGAAAAAAATATTTGCGATTACGATGTTCGTTGCGTTTAATTGAATGCGGTACTCCCTGCAATCAAAAACAATCCGGTAAACGGTACTAAAAGCATGAGCACATTATGTGAAACCTGAAATTTTTATCTAAAAATTAATTTTATAATTGACGACTCCGTGGCGCAGTGGCTTAGCAATGAGTGGCTGCGCTGGGGGTCGCGGGTTCGAATCCCGCACGGAACATGTATTTGTATGGCCTGCTAATAGTTGTTCCGGCCTGGATGTTTGTCCTTGTGCAATATATGTTTGTAAACTGCCCCCACGATACAAGAGAAAATCTTAGTGTAGGGGTAACGTTATATAAAAAAAAATTAATTAACTTGTGCTGGGATTCGAAAGTAAAATTCAGTAAAACTTGTCTACAGTACTAGTACCTATTTACAATAGTCACGCAATAGGAACACTTTAATATCTTCTCTTAAATTCACATTATACTATTATATGTTTTAAAATGGTAGAGAATGTCTCAGGCACGTGTTATAAAGTTTGAATAAATAATTGTATGACTCGTGCATGTGGAAAGGAATTGTATGACTCATGCATGTGAAAAGAAAAGGTACTAACTCACAAGTATAATTATTTTCAGAAAAACTTATTACAACCCGACTAAAGGTCAATTTTATAAACCCGGCACTGTAGTGAAACCTGCCGAGGCTTTTTGCAAAACATTGAAGCGAATAGCTGCAAAAGGTGGTGACGAATTATACAATGGAAGCCTTGCTGTGGATTTCCTCGACGACCTGCACCGAGTGGGGAGTATCATCACAGCCGACGACCTGCAAAATTATCAGTGAGTGTCTACATATTTGTTTTTTTGTTTTATTTAAGTATTTACCTTTCTTTTTCTGATAATGTAACGCGACCCCAAATATGATAATGACGATCGATGCAACGTAGTATCTAACGTTCGTAATATAATACAAATTCCTAATATTAACATAATGTCATTAAAAACTTTTAATTAAAACCGGCTATTAATTAATAACGAAGTAACGATATGGTGACGTAGTCAAATACATGCCTCTCTACTTATCAAGACATCTCTAGAAATAAATAAAATTAATAAATAGTAATGTCAAAATAACAGCTTTTTACTAAATGCATATAAAAGTACGAGTATATACGGTCAGTATCTTTCAAAATTCGATCAGGGGAGCGAGGCGGTTACTTGAATAATCAAGCAGCTCGATCGACATCGACCATTCTACCATCGATCGATCAGTGTGGTAGAAATTATCAATCGACGTCGACTAATCCATTCCAGCATCGATCGACGATCGATCGATTGGTGTGGTAACACTCTTAGACAATCTGTCACCGCACTACGAACGGTAAGAGAAAGACGGTATGGTAAAACAGGACTAAGGGAAATACCTAATAATTATGAAACCTGCATAGATAGGAATAATTAATATTCCTTTTAACTGTACAGGCAGCTGAGCAGCAAACGAGTCTTTAACGTGTACGAGATCTACCAATGAAAAATGAGAAAAACCATTTAATATATCATTTAAATATGTAATATGTATTATTCGTCGTCGTTGACTGTCTCCTTAGTTTATTTGTCGTAAGCGCGACTGCTGATCAAAGGGTCCCGGGTTCGGATCCCGAGTGGAGACAAAATCAGTTATTGGGTGCTTATATGAAGAAATATGTCTCACCCTCGTGATTCGGAAAGCACTTAAAACCGTTGATCTTACGCCTGATCTTTCTCTCGTCGTGTTGGAGTGCCATCGTACCATACTATGAGTATATCTAATATATTTTAATACGTACAACCAACGATTGGATCGATTTGCTAGCATTAACCTTACGACCGAACAGTAAAACTCCACTTAGGAATTGCGTCTGGTATTTTAATAATGTGAATCAAACCAGTGTGCCAGTGTGCAAGCATAATGAATATGGTTAAAACTTTCAGCTGTAGACATGTAAACCCAGGTATGGTGGTGACGTTTTTGACATGGTCACGGATGTCCATGAGCTGGTCTTACCACCAGGTGAAATGTTAGCTCATTTGTCACTTCAGTATTAAAAAAAGGATATCTTACAATCGATTAGTCACCATTGATTTAATAACTCAATGTTAGTCACGTTTATAATAACTTCGTCAAAAATATGACCCAATAATATGTTTCCAAAACCTAACCACGTATAAGTAAATCTACTGATTTATGAATAAGTACTTAGTAATAAAATGTCTTTAAAAATTCAATTTCTTAAAGTGAAGCATTCAGACACATAATATCTTATCGTATTTAAAAATATTGGAACAGTGCGATAATATTTGTTTTGAATTTTTATCAGCAGCCATTATGATTAACATATTATGTAAATAAAAATATTAAAGTCACGTGTTTTCGCGTTTGTTTTTTTATTTAAAATTTTTTAAGAATCAATTCGCATACAAAGATCGAATTAAATTATGTGATCAAATAAAGTCATCCGGCCCTGGATGAAGGGTGGGCGTGTCCCCTAATTAGGGACCTGAGTTATTACACTACCCTGACTTTACGCCCTTTCTCGGTCATAGGTGACCGATATGAATCGATATTTTTAAACATTATCAATATTATTGCGTGATTAATATCGATATATCCAAAGTTTAGCTCCTTATATCAAAACGGCTTGTATTTAGTAGAGACAATGAAATGGTTATTTTACGATTTCGTCACCTTAAAACATTTTATTTGATGACTCATGCACTTGGTTTTGCACAGCTGCCATAATATCGTATTATGCATGCCATTACTTACTGTAATAAACAAAATCCGCCATATTGTAAAACATTGCCTTCAGCAACACGACCGAACTATCGAGAAAATATTGGATTGGAAATATTAGTCGAACATTGAAATTAGAAACAGTGAAAACTAAGCATTGTAAAATAAACACGTATGAATTATTTATTACTTATTTTTGCTTACATTGTTATAAGTACATTATACAAAAACCGATATCTACAAGTTAACCTTAGTGTAGCAAATTGACGACTTTAGAGATATGCACATTTCTCGCTGATTTGCGAGACGGTGTTCATATTTTATTCGAAATTATAAATATAAACTACTACAAATACCATTCGAGGGGTAGACAGAGAGTCTAGATTTAGTGTTATCCGTATATATCGTATATATATATGTATATGTATACAATATGTAACGTAATTAACGCACACCCTCAGACACCCCCATTAGTATATTATGTTATAATCATATAATCTAACATGCACTTTTATTATTTATTTTATTATTTGATTATTTATCAAATTAGTTATACTAGTTCCTGTAGAATGTTGTGGTCACAATACAAATCCACGAACGCAAAGACTTTAACGTACTTGAAATAAAGTTAATTTTTCTTTATTTTTATTGAATGACAGAATTAGTAATAATACAAATAAAACTGCACTCTTAAGAGTCTAATTGCCTTAAGTTACTGTTAAGTGTTTTTGTGTCTGTGTTTGTGTTTGTGTGTGTGTGTGTGTGTGTGTGTGTGCGTGTGTGTGTGTGTGTGTGTGTGTGTGTGTGTGTGTGTGTGTGTGTGTGTGTGTGTGTGTGTGTGTGTGTGTGTGTGTGTGTGTGTGTGGGTGTGTGTGTGTGTGTGTGTGTGTGTGTGTGTGTGTGTGTGTGTGTGTGTGTGTGTGTGTATGGGTGTGTGTGTGTGTGTGTGTGTGTGTGTGTGTGTGTGTGTGTGTGTGTGTGTGTGTGTCTGTGTGTGTGTGTGTGTGTGTAATATTTTCTCGATAGTTCGGTCGTGTTGCTAAAGGCAATGTTTTACAATATGGCGGATTTTGCTTATTACAGTAAGTAATGACATGCAGTATACGATATTATGGCGGCTGTGCAAAACCAAGTGCATGAGTCATCAAATAAAATGTTTTAAGGTGACGAAATCGTAAAATAACCATTTCATTGTCTCTACTAAATACAAACCGTTTTGTATTATAGTTTTTTTTTTTGAGATTTAATTCGTAACACAATCACCGTTCTACTAAAATACTAACAGCGTGTTTTAATTAGAGATGAGCCGAATATTCGTTTTATATTCGGTATTCGGCATATTCGGCATATTCGGCAGCGTTACCGAATATTCGTATTCGGCCGAATATTCGGCTAAATCACCGAACATTCGGTTTCATAGTGTCCAATATATTGCAAAGTACGAACTGTGTAATGCGATGTCTTTCACTGTTGAAAGTATATTTTATTTATGGGTTAAATCTACTTACTCTAGAGTGCCTCAAATGCATAAATCTATACATTTATGTTTTTGAGGAAATGTAGATTTATTTCCGATTATGGCAAATAGAAACTTGATAAAATGTTTTTGGAATCAAAATTCATTATATTAGTTCATTTCACTTTACTTTGGTCGTCAGTTTCTCTAAAATAAGACCAAATAGTAAATGTCCTGCCGCTCGTTTTTATCATATAATTATCAATTTTTACTAAGAATAAAACAACGAAATATTTTCTTTATCACAAGAATAGTCAAAACATAAGCATTTGCCGGCAATTTGCTCACTACTAGATGAAGCAATAACATGTCAGGTGTGGGGAGCGAGGAGCAGGGTCTGGTGCTAATCCCGCGCGCTTTTCGATAACAAGTTTTGACATAAATTGGTTTGGTACCGAGGTGACCCTGCCGGATAATGTTCGGTCGAATATTCAGTTCGGTAAAAATTTTACCGAACATGTGGCCGAATATTCGTATTCGGTGAAATCCATATTCGGCCCATCCCTAGTTTTAATTACAGTCATCATCTAACCTCTAATTCTTTAAATAATATCAAAAAAAAAATACGCTCGAAGAACTCGTATAATTACATAAGATATAATTACGGCTGGATCTAAAGATTAAATAATACTTTTATCAAGCCACTCTGAGTTTTTTTAAGCCATTTGCAGTTATAACTGGTTTTAGGAATCTAAAGGCGTAGATAGAGTTGGACATAAATTTATTTTACTACCGTATTAAATCGGTATTATGCACGTAGTTTGATTTCCATTTAAATTTTATCGCAAAATCTTTTAATACTTACAAATTTTCGTTGTAAAGGTTTTTCTAACCTGTACCTGTAGTACCATTTGATTTTCCTTTTAAAATGTAAGAAATTCAGTCATTCAGGAATTTATATAGGCATTGGCCGAGAGGATCACCGCAGAGAGGTGAATATTTGTATTGAGTACATACAGATATAAAGATTTAAAATAAATGCGTACTTTTTTTCTTGGGAATTTCTCAAAAGTACTATATTTTTGCTTCCATTTTGGAAAAAATTATATATTTATTCAAAAAAGGTGGCAACTCTAATTATAAGTGATGAAGCCGAAATGGTGAAGGGTACTGCATTAAGCTTAACAAAAGCATATTTACTCTTGCCTTGAAGACACCCAACACTACACTCGGATGGAAAGACAGATGTTGGGAGCAAGAGTGATAACTGATTAAGCATCTGCTTTTGTTTCTAATTCGAGAACAATCTATTCTCGAATTAGGAACAAAAGCAAATGTTTAATCAGTTATCACTCCTGATCCCAGCATGTCTTTCCCTTCGAGTGCAATGTGCGTGTCTTCAAGGCAAGAGTAAATATGCTTCCGATACAAGCTAAGCAGTCAAAAGCGGGGGTCCGCACTCCCCCACTCGGACAGCAGTTAGATAGCTCAAGAACCACCACAGAGACGACATGATGATTGGTAACAATACAAAATTATAAACTATATCGACGACATATCGAATGAGCAGTATGCTCTTTTTACTACATCTCCTATACAAAACCACCATCA